TAAGTTTTCTTTTTCTGGGAGTTGCTTCAGAAAGACTATTGTCTGTTTGGACCTCTCTTCCACAAACAGAAATTTAACTCCTATCAAAGGTTTTACTAACTCCTATGCTAGAGAGGTGATTTTGCTTTTCATTTTCCACATTACTTTCGTTGTTAATTACATTTTTATTTAAATTACTAATATAACTTAAATCTAAATTAACGTCCGGGATTGCGCATTTAGAAATTCGTGCAGAACACATCATTTCGGCAGAAAAATGATTGTTACCGGCAAACATATATTTAGTTTGCCCAACTACTCCTAAGCGCTTCATCCATTCTGTTCTAATTTGGTAAATAATTATCAGAATTAAATGAAATACAAAAATAAAAATTAATTATAAAGAAAAACAAGTATATTTGAGTAGTTACATAAAAAGGATCAACAATAAAAAATAAACATATTTAACTACAAATAAGAACACAAAGTTAGTTTTGTCTTTGCAGACGCTTCAATTATTTTCACACAAATTGCTATGCTAAAAAACAATTATTTACTTTTTACATACGATATACAATTAAATTTCAATAAATACATGCCATTGAAAATACAATACATTTAAACATCTACTTTGTAGATTATTTAACATTTATGATTAGTAAGATTCATATTCAATTTTTATTTGCTGGTATAGGATAAGAACTACAAGAAATATAAAAAACATTTTTATAACGATTTTTTTTTATATAATAATTTTAAATATTATTTGATTGAAATTAATGTTTTCAATAATATTAAAAAAAAAATCTGGAAACGTTATTCGCAAAAAATCAGTGTTTTTATTATAAATTTTTATAATTTTATTGCTTTATCATTACGAACATGAATTACTACTTACAAATATTTTAATTAACACATCCATATTTGTTATTCCACATATACTGTAAAACAATTATGCAAAACACTTATGCCACAAATTTACGTAAAACTGAAATGCAAAGTTTACCTTCGTTCCTCATTGTTGTCCGGGAATTTATAAAGGGATTTAAACTCCTTACATCCTTTAACACACTTTTTTCCCATATTTTTATATAAATACTAAACTTTATTTTCACAATTTATTAGTGTTTATACAGTAATAACACAATATGCTACTACTTTCAATTTTAACTACTTTTTGTTAAATATTTGCGCGGCAAATTTTGTATGATTTGGCGCAACGAAATTTTATATTACTCTCAAAAAATCAAAACCAAAAAACAAAACCACACTCTTTCTTACACTCTTCGTGGTAAACTTTTCGAAATATTCCGTTCTCAAAAGTACTCGAAGCATCGGAAAAAGGTGAAAAGGTGAAAAATTTCAGTGATTTCAGCTGGTGCAAAGAATATCTTTACAAGAACGGAAACTCCGCCCACTTCGTGAGAGTGCATTTGAAATTGCTTTTGAAAACTTATTTTTTATAACATTTTGGCACACGTATTAAATATATGTGATCTTACCACGATAACATCAAATTGCTCTCTTTTTGGGGTTGCAGTATAATAATTTGCTGCTACTTGCTAATCATATATTAACTTTTTAGTAATATAAAAAACTTATGCTTCCTTATTTGGTTAATAATATCACATTACGTACACAAAATATATATTGTAACAAATAATATATGATAAATAAATATATAAATTAATATATAATAATTTAAATCAATTAATTTAAATCAGTTTAGTTTACTTAATCATGTAATATATATTCAGTAAATTAATTTTTGTTGCTTTTTTCATATGAATCTTATAGTCTATAAACATCTTAATTAAATAAAAAGAACAGTTTTGAATATTTCTTATTTAGTGTGTTATATTTTCTTATATATTTTTTGAGCGTGTAAAACATTATTTCAAAAACAATTTTGATATAATAGCATTAAATACCGTTTTGATGTGAAATTAATAACAAAGACTGAAGCTACTACCAATTCACTTTTTTATATGGCAGCACTTAAGTGATCCATGATAAATTGTGTTTCTCTGCGAAGACTTAATTTTTAAATTTAGTGCCAAAAAATATGTTGATGAGGAAGGGTGTACGCGCATTCCCTTTAAATGTGTGGTACGTATTATTGCCTTGCATGCATTTCTAATTGATTAGTAACAATAAATCTGTTGATAAGGGAGGATGTGCGCGCATCCGCTCTAAATGTATGTGGTGAATAATATTTATTATTAATTTACGTACATTACTGTGTGATCAGTAGCGAAAAATCTATTGATAAGAGCGGGTGCATGCGCATTCATTGTCGGATTTATGAGTTTTTCTTATGAAGATATATTTTTATATAAAATTTAACAATTTTTAAATTTTGATATTGAAACATTTTAATTTTATATTATGATTATAAAATATATTTATATATAAATACTAAAGTATTTAAAAATATTAGCTAAGTTTAATTAAGAGAAGTACAAGTTGTTTACATAATTTATTATTGTTATGAAATGAAATAGACTTGATTATTTACCAGAATTAATGCAAGATTTAAACGAGATATATGCTATACATTTTTAGTTCATCTGTTTGATGAATATTATAAATTTTTACATAATATAAAAATTAAAAACATATATATTTTTTTTGTGTTGATTATGTATAGAATATATGAATATTTTCTTCAGAATTTAAATGACCTTAAAAACATAAATTTATTTGGGATATGATTATTATCATGTAGCGCCTTATGTTTATGTTTTAAATATTTTTATCTCAATGTGAACATAAAATGCACACCTACTAATATTTTAAAATAAATAGTAAAATACTTTCGCTAAACTGTTGTATTAGAAATATGCATAGAACTTAAATGAAAATTTATTTTCTTTCATCATTATTGTGTGGAAATTTAAAAAAAGAACCATAACAAATTTTTTACATCCCTTGTATTTTCCTATTTCTACATTTAGTGTATTTAGCTATGTAGTTTATTCGACCAAAGTTCAAGATTTGGTATGCATTTTCCACACCACCCAAGAGGTATGCATAAAGGTGCGTTACCGAGTTTAGGTGCCGGTTCCCCAAGAGGCATATCCACCATTATTTATTCGTTATAATTTTTTACAGATTTTTACAAAAAAAAAAATTAACAAAATAATAATTACAATACTTTTAAAAATTAATTGCAAATTTAAATATACATAAACTTAAAGCAAAAAAATTATTAAAATAAAAATTTAATTTAAAAAATTAATTTA